TGTATCATGGTATAGGTACAAGTTTGGGTTGTACCATAGAAGGATTTTTAGAAAGTGTAGGTACAAATTAAAGTTGTACCATAAAGGGATTTATTAGAAAGTGTAGGTACAACTTAAAGTTGTACCATGGTATAGGTACAAGTTTGGGTTGTACCATAGAAGGATTTTTAGAAAGTGTAGGTACAAATTAAAGTTGTACCATTAGTATAGGTACAAGTTTGGGTTGTACCATAAAGGGATTTATTAGAAAGTGTAGGTACAACTTAAGGTTGTACCATTAGTATAGGTACAATTTTTAGTTGTACCATAAAGGGATTTGTTAGAAAATGATGGTACAACATTAAGTTGTACCATAGTGTATAGGTACAATTGTGAATTGTACCATAGAAGATTTTTAGGAAAGTGTAGGTACAACTTTAACTTTAGTGTAAAGGTATAACTCTAGAATGTGAGATTTTAACGGGTTTAGGAAAGTGTAGGTACAACTTTAAGTTTAGTGTAAAGGTACAACTCTAGAATGTGAGATTTTGACGGGCGTGACAATGTCAAGTAGTAGCCGTGAAATTTCCTGGGATAGTGAGAACTGCTCTTTGCATCTCACGGGACATCGCACGGCCGTGATATTTGCCTGAGGAATGAAGCACTGCTTTTTACATCTCACTTGAGTATTTTACGGTCGTGAGATTACCACTATAAGGTGTCAGATTTCCAGTAAGAGACCTTCACCTGTTGAACTATCCCGTGTACTTATTATAATGGTGTTTCAAACAGAATGGACTTTTTTCCAGAACTTCAAACTTATGAAAAAGATGATTCATAATGTTCTCTAAACCTTGACACGAGCATTACATAGATCCATTCACAATGTTCTCTAGTAACTGTACATCATATCAGATGAGATACCCTGTTAACAAAAAGTAAAACGCAGTCAAAGCATTACATTTGTCTAATAAAACAAGCATCCATAACACGATTAAATCTGTCTAATTAATGCTTAAGTTTAGCTGCATGTAGCCCACACTAGTGCATCATCATATTCTAATTGGAAAACATACAAGCACAAACGCAAACACACATAGCTAAATACTAAGGACTTTTGTTGGCTCATCTTCACTGCCCATCTTCCTCGTCAGTGCTCTCGTCCTCGTCTTCGTTTTGCTGGATTTGCTCATCTTCATTGTCCTCGCTAGAGTCACTGCCCTCTTCCTCATTGGTCCCTTTGTCCTCTTGATTTCTTTCCTTGTTTTGTTCATTTCCATTGTCCTCGTCGTCCTCTTCACTGCCCTCTTCCTCATTGGTCTCTTTGTCCTCTTGATTTCTTTCCTTGTTTTGTTCATTGCCATTGCCATCGTTGTCCTCCTCTTCACTGCCCTTTTCCTCATTGGTCCCTTTGTCCTCTTGATTTCTTTCCTTGTTTTGATCATCGCCATTGCCCTCGTCGTCCTCTTCACTGCCCTTTTCCTCATTGGTCTCTTTGTCCTCTTGATTTGTTTCCTTGTTTTGTTCATTGCCATTGCCCTCGTCGTCCTCCTCTTCACTGCCCTTTTCCTCATTGGTCCCTTTGTCCTCTTGATTTCTTTCCTTGTTTTGATCATCGCCATTGCCCTCGTCTTCCTCTTCACTGCCCTCTTCCTCATTGGTCCCTTTGTCCTCTTGATTTGTTTCCTTATTTTGTTCATCGCCGTTACCCTCGCCGTCCTCTTCACTTCCCTCTTCATTGCTTTCCTCGGTTGGCCTAGGAGATAGTTCCCAAGGTGTTGAGAATTTTTTGTAGTCAATCCTCAAGGACCTCATGATGTGTTGGTTGCATTTGATGATGTAGCGTCGAGCTTCCTTTTCTCGATCGAGGCGGGAGAGAATGAGTGCATTTTGCTCGAGAATTTGGGCATTCTGCCGACCCAATGCCTCAAAATGGGAAATGTATCTGTCGGTGGATGGTCCGGCTTGAGTCGTTGTTTGGTGATGTTGTGCAGGTTGTTGCGGAGACTCCTCGACCATTTGCTGAACAACATGCTCTGATGCGTTTGCCTCATCTGTTGCAAGAGGTGGAGCAGGATGAGGGAGGCCAACAATGCCTACCACACCATTCTCCTTAACCACCAAACACAGACATGATCAATATCAGAAGCATTAGTTACATTTGCTCAATGTTCAAAAGGAACTAGATTAGTAGGCAATCCAAAACTTGCACAAAATCAATCCTAGATTGTTTGAATCCCGACTAGTTATGTTTTAGCATTCACTGTGAAAAGGAAAGTGTTGGTTGGAACATTTACCTTTGACAACAAATATAGATCCGCAAGGTTTTTTTGGGAGATTGGTTGAGTGGACTGGGCAATGGTGCAATGAGAACCCACCGGATCAATGCCAAAATGCCGAGCTAGCCTTGTGATGTAGGCACCTCCATGGATGGTCTTGATTTGTTTGTTGGAGGTCATCTTCTGTAGGGTTTTCAGTATGACTAAACCAAGATGAATTGGGGGATCTTTTACCATAGAGAGGAAAAAGTTAAAATCCCGCTTGGTCACACTCCCCGGGCTCCCCTCCCTAGCTGCCACAGAATGAGCGATAATGTTGTGGATGATACGCCATGGGGGAAGAAGATCATTCCCTTTATAGTGGGCAGTGTCAGACTTTTCCACATAGTTTTGTTTTACCCTTGTCCACATAGCATCGACCAATGGTGCTCTTGGTGAATATACTTTCTCTGAAATCAAACCATGACCTGTAGTGAGAAATCCTGGTGGGTATATCTGGAGTGCCTCTGTGAACTCAGTGATGCTCATCTGTCTCGCCTGTCCTCCAAGGCGAAAAGTTATGTTGTCTTCGGGCTTGTCGAGGTGAAACTCGCACATAAACTTGATGGAGAGAGTGCTGAGGAACTCAATGGTAAGCTCTCGGTAGATGACCTCATTGATGGAGAGAACCTCACACCATGCCGGGAGATGGAGGCATGTGCGAACGGGGTCCGCTGCTCCGAGGCGCTCTAGGAGATCCCAATCAATGCATCTTTGCTGCCCAAATGGGAGGGGAAGGAAGCGCTCTAAAGCCCTCCTATGTTTGTCGGGTAATTGGAGGAAGCCGTGAAGTCCCCCTCCTCCAAGTTGAGCCTCCGTTTGTGGTGGTGGAGATGGTTGACGTGCCCGTCCTTGGTTGTTTTTGCGTTGTCGTTTGGGGGGAGTGTCTCGTTCTTGGGTTTGGCGGCGACGACGAGAAGGAGCCTTCACTTTAGCAGGTGAGGCTGATGGTTGCGTGGTTTTTTGTTTAGCTCTCCCCATTCCTACAAAAACCAACTAAGCACATTAAGTCTTTAGTGAATGAGAGGGAAAAGAATTATGCATAAGCATATGCAATTCACAAAGAGACGTCTACACCCTAAAAAAAAATGCAACAAACCAGGAGCATTCTAATCCCAGGAGCATTCTAATCACAATTAGGAATTCAAAACCCTAATTCAGACCAACCAGGAGCATTCTAATCCCAGGAGCATTCTAATCACAATTAGGAATCCAAAACCCTAATTCAGACCAACCAGGAGCATTCTAATCACAATTAGGAATTCAAAACCCTAATTCAGACCAACCTTGGGCAACTAAACCCTAAAAAATGCAAGAAACCAGAGAAGATTGCCGCTGTGGTTAAGAAGAACTCACGAGAGGCGCTGTGGGGATCGAAGTGGAACAGAGGGCAAAGACTCGTGGGGAAATGGTCGCCGTTGCCGCTGAACCTTGGAGCAGTTACCAGAGGAGTCGTGGGGAAGTGGTCGGCGGCGGAAGAATCTTCGAGGGCGAGCGAGCAAGTGCGACCGAGCGAGTGATTGCGAGGCTTGGGGGGTCGAAGTAGAACAGAGGGAGTAGAGGGTTGGGGGTCGGGGGAGAAGAGGGTTTTTGTCCCGGGCGATGGCGAGGGTGTGATGGCGAGGCTTGGGGGGTCGAAGTGCGATGGAGAGGGTTCGGGGTCGAAGTAGAACAGAGGGTTCGGGGTCGGGTTCAAGTAGAAAAGAGGAAGTTTTAAATAGGGTGTTTCCAATTTGAGGGTTCCATCTCACGGTTTTTGTCCCGGGCGTGATATAACCCGTGAAACCGACTGGAACTTACAATTTTTTTAAAAACATTCTAACGGTCCATCTCTCGGCCGTGAGATTTGAAGTTGTGAGGCGTGTTTTTTGGTTTCAGCTGTGACCATCTCACGGGTTAATCTCACGCCCGTGAGATTAACATATGAGCCGTGAGAAGTCCAGCATTTCAATTACACAAACACGGCTCATCTCACGGCCGTGATACTGTCGAACCCAACCCGTGAAACCCACTGGAACTCCCCCTTTTTAAAAAAATTTAACGGTTCATCTCCCGGCCGTGATATTTTCAGATGTGAGGCGTGTTTTTGAGTTTTAGCTGTGACCATATCACGGGTTAATCTCACGCCCGTGATATTTAAAGATGAGCCGTGAGAAGTGCATTTTTACATGCAAGGTCTCTCTCACGGTCTCTCTCACGGCCGTGATATTTCCATCTCACGGCTCCTTATCCCGGGCGGGATATTACCAACTCAGAACCGTGAAACTCCCAGGGACATTTTTTTAAATTTAACGGTTCATCTACCGTCCGTGAGATTTAGGAAAGTTTTGAGTGGGAACCTCACGGCTTGTAATTAAAGTTTGTTCAATTTCGATCTCTCTGTATTTCAATCACTCTCTGTATTTCGATCTCCATCTCTTTGCTGCATTCCTTGTCCAAGGATTGTATCGATCTAGGAAAGTTTGTTCTCCTTGCTTCCTTCCTTAGAGATCGATGAGGTGGAATACTCAATGTGACGTCAAGGTAGAAGATCCCATGAGCATTTTAATCACGTCTACACCATCATGATCAGTCAGAACCATGTCAATGCTCACTTAGGTTACAAATTGAACCCTTTTGATGATGTTACAGTAAGCTCTTCATTCATAAGGTTATGAGAAGTAAAAACAAAGGTATTTATTTGAGCCAAAATCAGACACTGCATTATACAGGAGATTGGCAAATACCTGTGATAGTGGTGCTGAAACTCTCTTGACAGATACCACACGAAGCTTCACCGATCATGTTCTTCATATCACTGAACAATATCGATTAAGACAAGTTAATATGACAACCAAAGCGATGAATTATCATACCACTGAGATTATTCCTCCCAAACCCCAAGAACTGAAAGAATACTTACATGCGGCACTCGACACTTGTTCCATGATTGCAGAAGGGACAACTGAACACAGTTTCCAGCTTGTCCATTCTCTTCTTAGGTGGTGGCTTTGCCTTTGACTTCCTCTTTCCCATGTCTAATTCCTACAACAACAAGCAATAAACAAATCGTTTCAACCAAACAATATCATACTTCTCCCTTGACGTCTCTTTAAGTATTCCATCCTCTTCGATCTCCACTTTTGTAACTCCCCTTGGAGTTGGGGTGATACCGGACAGATCAAACTTTCCAAGCTAGATGCAACCTTGGTCAGGGGTTTTGCATCCCTCCCACTCAAAACTTCTCTCTATGTATTTCGATCTCTCTGTATTTCAATCACTCTCTGTATTTCGATCTCCATCTCTTTGCTGCATTCCTTGTCCAAGGATTGTATCGAGCTTGGAAAGTTTGTTCTCCTTGCTTCCTTCCTTAGAGATCGATGAGGTGGAATACTCAATGTGACGTCAAGGTAGAAGATCCCATGAGCATTTTAATCACGTCTACACCATCATGATCAGTCAGAACCATGTCAATGCTCTACACAAACCAATTGCTGGAGATAATAGAAAGCAGCAACAGCCTCGCATTACCAATTACAACCCTAGCGGTACCAAAGACAGTACAGGCTACAGCTTATACCAGCTTATACCAGCTTCAGCTCCTCATTACCTAAACATAATCAACAGACTACCAGCGTACCAGCTAAAAATCTCAGATCCAATCGCAGGGCTTAAGCAAATCATAAAGAGTTGAAAAGAGCAGAATGAGTGGGGAAGGGATGATAAGGAACTGACCACTCCAGAATTGGTGAAACTAGAGATGGAAATCTTCTGGTCGGATAGGTAATCCCTGGTGAGCAAATCTGGAAACAAAGAGGGAATCAAACGAAACATCGGCGCCGCAAGAAACCGCGAGAGCAAGAGAGAGAGAGAGAGAGAGAGAGAGAGGAAGGTTGAAAGGGGAGATCTATCTTCGTTTACCTTTGTCCTTCTCGCCGAAGTCGGAGAAGAGACCTGGTCCCTTGCTCATGGCGGCCGGCGAAACGGAGTCGGAGCGGGGAGGATTTGGGGGCAAGGGTTTATGAAAAACCCTATAATGAGAGAACTGGGAGAGAGCTTCGCCTGTGGTGGTGGGAGCTTGTTCGAACTGGGAGTAGAGGGTTGGGGGTCGAAGTGCGATGCAGAGGGTTGGGGGTCGAAGTAGAACAGAGGGTTGGGGGTCGGGTTCAAGTAGAAAAGAGGAAGTTTTAAATAGGGTGTTTCCAATTTTAGGGTTAATCTCACGGCTTTTTGTCCCGGGCGGGATATAACCCGTGAAACCCTCTGGAGCTTACAATTTTTTTAAAAAAAATTCTGACGGTACATATCCCGGCCGTGAGGTTTCAGTTATGAGGCGTGTTTTTGGGTTTCATCTGTGATCATCTCACGGCCTCTCTCACGGTTTCTCTCACGGCCGTGATATTTCCAGAATTTCAAATCCAAAAACACGCATGCTTTCACGGCCGTGAGATTTCCGGAATTGGCCTGCACAGACATTCACATGTAGAACTAACCCCTGTACTTATTATAATGGTGTAAGAAACATAATATACTGTATTTGAAAACTACAAGCTTATGAAAAGATGAGTCATAATGTTCTTTGAAGCTAGACACAAGCATTACATAGATCCATTCAATGTCACTAGATACTAACTTGCACAAAACAAAGATGACAAGATGAAACATAGTGTTGTTTGAAGCCGAACACCAGCATTACAGGTTGTGCTTGGATCGTTTGGGAAGTAGAACAGATTCTTGAGTCTCCACATGAAAGCTGCTTTCACCTGCTCCTATGGACTCGAAGTTGTATTCTTGTTGCGTGAAATGACTATCACCTGCACCTGCTTCAGCCATTCTTTTCAGCGGACAATTTCTGATTGTATGTTTAGGACGCCTACAATACTTGCACAACCGTGTTTTCACTTGAGGTTGCTTCACATTCCCTTTACTTCGAACTGGATGGGAGTCCTTAATAAACTGAGAGGAGTTCACTCCAGCATCCGTAGTAGCATTATTTGTTTTGTTGGTTGTTTCTTCACTTATTGTCTTCACTCGCAAGGTCAAGTCTTCAATCAACCCTTTGGCAGTATGAAATGCTTCATCCGAACTCACAGCATAATGGCACATTCTACTACATTGACCAACCAAGAATCCAAACCTGTCCAAATAAACAAGCAATTTTGTAGTTGGTTCCTAGCACAATAGAAGTAAACAAAGAACTAAATCAACACCTTAAATTTATAATACCTGCTAATATTTTGCTGGGTAGGACAGCTTCCCATACTCGAGGGATCGAAATCTTTTGCATCTTTAGTCCAACGCTTCAAAATGAGTGACTTTGGAATTTGTATTTGATTTTCTGCTTTCAATATGCAGAATATATGCCGACATGGAATTCCGCAGAACTCAAAAATGCCACAAGAACAATGCACATCATGTCCACTCGTGTAAAAGACCACAGTGCACTTTGAGTCAGGGTATTTGAATCGTGACAATGTGTAAATTGTTTTATTGGTCAACACACACTTGTCTGTAATATAGTAATGAACTTCTCTCGCTATTTCTGCTCGAACGCTCCTGAACACATTTCTTGTATATACTATAGATGCATGTCTTTCAATTTCATGTAAATGTGTCATCAAAACAACATCAGTATGTATTGTCTTAAACTGGTCATGTAACTCAGTTTGTCTCCTATACAAAAGTGCCATGTCAAACTGCTTGACAAACTCAAACAACTTCATCTTACTTTGCAAGATTTTGTCTAGATAAGAGTTCATGCTCTCACAACGTTGTGACGTAGTCATCCCAGCAAAGAAAATACCTTTCAAGTAAGTTGTGGCCCATAGAGCTTGTCGCCTATACATCTTCTTCATCCACGCATTGTGCTCCAGGTCATACTTGGACAAAATTTCCTTCCACGTAGCTTCAAATTGTGGAATAGAACTGCAGTTTAGCATGCATCGTTTGAAATCCTCCTGGAAGCCTTCCGCATGGCCACGCGATTCTGCGTTATTGCCCAAGTGCCAAGAACATAACCGATGTCGGGATCCAGGGAGAACCGACTTGATAGCTTTCCTCATTGAAGAACAACCATATGTTATAACTGCGGTTGGCTTCTTACCACCCATGCAATGTAAAAAAGCATTTAGAATCCATACGTAGTTCTCCGCCGTTTCATCCGCAAGTAAAGCACATGCAAAAATAGTGCTTGCATTGTGATTATTCACACCAATGAATAGAAGAAATGGAAGATTATATGCATTAGTCTTGTACGTCGAGTCAAAAACAAGAACATCTCCAAAGAGACTATAATCCAATTGTGAAGTAGAGTCAGCCCATAACATATTGCCTAGTTCACCACCATCACTTACTGTATATCTACAATAAAAACGAGGATCGGTAGTTGCCCGTGCTTGTAAGTAGGCAAGTGCAGCTTCACTATCACTATCCAAGATCTCCGACCTCCGATCCGCACTAACAAAATTGTAGACATCGGTCTTAGTGAAACCCAAGTTCTGAAAGCTTCTCGCACAATTCACTAGATAATCCATTATTTGATTGGTGCGAATACCAGCAGCCCTAAGTGATCGAATCTGAGCCTTACTTGCGTCATCTACCTTGCGATGAGAACTCAAAAACTGCACTTCATGTGCTCCAGCTAAGTGATGAAAATGTGTTGGTACAAACTGCTTCACCTTGAATCGGTTAGTTGCCTCAACAAAACTGACTTTGAAAGCTGCCGGACAATGGAGCCTTGTTACAGGCCTAGGTTCACGCTTTCTGTTCTCCTTGTCATTGTGCACTGGTTGACGCTCCCCCTCGCGTGAGCAAACCCATCGCTGCATATTTTTAACTCCATATTTTGAATATGTGTGAGTGTTCTTTCGTACGCTGAATCCCATGGCACAACCATAAGTTGAATAGAACTTGGCAGCCTCCACAAGGGTTTCAAACTCATAACCCACAACATCATCCGACTCCCATTTAGAATATGGCTTACCATTCCCGACTTTATCAAGCAAGGTCCAGTCATACATACTCGAGTATGGTGGAGCCAGGGCTAGATTTGCAGCATCTTTGTGTAGATGTGCATCTGAGCTGTGTGGCTGTGTTTCGAAGCTGTGCAAATGCTCATCTGAGATGTTCTCTTTATCATCATCACCAAAGTTAGTGTTATTATCATCCTCAGAATCACTATCGCTGGTGTCGACATTGTCCTCCATATCGTCACTATCTCTAACACCACCGGTATCATCTCCATAATCCATTCCCCAATCTAAACCAACATTCAAGTCAATTCCCGTGTCCTTGCCTGTGCTCATATCATCCATCAACCCTTCCATAGTTGATCAACTGAAAACAAGCAACAAAATGAAGTTTAGAGACAATTGAAATCCACATATTCACCACCCACAACCGACCGAATCAATTGAAACAAACACGAGGCAAGACCGAGTTAAGCAAACTCAGCTCTATAGGTGCCATATCAGTTCTATAGTTTCCCCTTCACTTCTGCGACAAACCAACCATTCACAAATGAAAGAAACCATAGCCTAAACCGTACTCCATACCAAGAAGAACCCATAAGTCCCTGATTTCTCAAAAGAACCCAAAATCCGGCGAAACCCATAAGTTTCCCAAGAGAACCCGTGAGTGCAAATAGAAATCGAAAATGAAGCAACTAGAACTGCACAAATCTGGACGAAAACCAACAATTTCCCAAAAAAACCCGTGGAACCCTAAATTCGCAAGACTCAAAATCGAAATCTGAGGCTACTAGAAGCGCAAAACACACAGGTAAAGCAGGAGAAGAGGTAATCGTACTTGACGGAGCGTGATGGAGAGCGGTCTGCGGGTCTTCGGCGGCTGACGAAGGATGGGCGAATAAGGGAGAATGGAAAATCGATGGTTGCGTAGAGAAGGGAAGACGAAGGAAGGGAGATAGGAAGAATCTGGTTTCGTAATATTGGTGGAGAATTAAGAACTGAGGCTGGGAGAGAAGCAGGAAGGAAGAAGTCGACAGGGAGGAACCGAGGATCAGTCCTCTGGCGCCG